CTACAAGTTCTGATTCTGGGTAAGACACATAAGCATATCCACCTTTTCTCTCCCACTAAATGCAGCTATAAAACCTAGACAGAACAATTTTTTGAGAACCCTGAATACTAAATAGCAGCAGTCCCAGATGGTGTCATTGTCAAATTCTCTCAAACATTGAAAGAAAAAATAACACCAATATGCTCAATCTATTCCAGAAAATAGAAGATGAAGAAATATTTCCTATCTCATTTTGTGAGGCCAGCATTAAAACCATATCAAACTATACACAGTTTAAGAAAGCTGAGTCCAATATCTCTCATTAGTGGAGATGCAAAAATCCACAATATAATATCAAATAGTATCAGTGATACATACAAAAAATAACACCACAGCCAGGTGAGTTTTGTCCTGGGAATTCAAGGCTGGTTCAATATTTGAAAATCAATCAATGTAACCACCATATTGTCTAATAGGTGATATAACTGATGAACTAAAAAGCATTTAATAAAAATCAATATCAAGACTAAAGATTTCCCCAAACTATGATTAGTAGGTGACTTCCTAAACTGATAAAGTGCTTCTACACAATACCCACAGCTAACATCATACTTAATGGTAAAAGACAATTTCCCTCCTAAGATCTACTAAGGCAAGGATGTGTGCTTTCGGTACTTATATTCTACAGCATACTGAATGATTTAGCTGATGCAATAGTATAAGAAAATGAAATAAAAGATATAAAGTTTAGGAAAAATTTTCCCTATTTTTTGAGACAACATGATTATCTTTATATAAAATATTAAGGGATCTACAAAAAACAAGCAAGCAAACAATAAAACCAACACCAACACAAAAAGTTAAATAAAATTATAGGATACAAGAATATGTTTATGGCACCTTCATGATATCCATCTTCTGGTGTTCATGCCTTTGTGTAAGCTCTTCCCCTTGAATGTGGGTAGTACCTGTGAATTGCTTCTAACCAACAAAATATGCCAAAGGTGATGAATTGTCACTCCTGTAATTGCTATGTTACGTAAGATTCTCTTTCTAAAATATTGTCTCTAGAATCTCCATGCCCTTTGCTACCTTTGAAGAATCAAGCTGCCATGTGTCCTACAACCACAAGGAAATGAATTTTGTCAAAAATTTGAAGGATACTGGAAGCAGAAGCTTCCCCAGTATATCTTTGCAGAGGACCCACCTAAGTCATTTCCAGACCCACTTCAGAGAAACTGTGAAATAATGAATTTGTGCAGTTTTAAGCCAGTCAGTAAATTTATAGTAATTTGTTATACAAAATAGAAAACTAACATAAAGGTTAACACGTCAGAAATCATATTTATATATCTAGTAATAAATAATTAGAAATAAAATTTTTAAAAAATTACAAAAGCTCTAAAAATAAAATATTCAGGCATAAGTTAAACAAAATAGGTACAGAGTTTGATTGCTGAAAACCACTAAATTTAATGAAAGGACTCAAGTAAGACTCAAATAAGTCAGAGACATACTGTATTCATGGATTGTAAGACTCAACATAGTGAATATCAATTCTCCCCATATTGCTCTACAGATTTAATGTAATTCCAATTTAAAGCCCTACAGGTTTTTTTGTAGATACAGACAAATTAATTCTAAAATTCATATAAAAAGGTAAAGGAACTAACATAGCTAAAACAATCTTACCGAAGAAAAATACATTTGTAAGAATCATATTACCTGATTTTAAGACTTATAATAAAGTTACAGTAATAAAGACAGTGGTATGGGTGAAAATATAAATATATAGATCAATAAAACCTAATAGAAATTATAAAAATAGAGCTACACAAATATCAATTGATTTTTGGCAAAAAATTAAAAAGGCAATGAAATGGAGTGAAGATAATCTTTTCAACAAATGGTGTTGAAACAATTAGATATCTATATGAGAGAAATGAGCCTCAATTTAAACTTCATATCATATACAAACTTAACTCTAAATGTACCACAGATATAATTGTTAAAACCATAAAACTTTTAGAAGGAAGCATGGGAGAAAGCCTGTATGATCTTCAGTTAGGCAGTGACATGACAGCAAAAGCACAATCCACTAAAAAAATCTGAAAACTAAACTTTATCAAAATTAAAAACATTTGCTCTGTGAAAGATATGAAGATAATGAAAAGACACATTATAGACTGGGATACATTATTTGCACATCATATATCTGACAAAGAACTGGTATCTAGAAACATATTAAAATATATTTAATATCATTAGCCATTAGAGAAATTTAAATTAAAATCATGATGAGAATCCACTACATATCTATTAAATGGCTTTAAAAATTCTGGACAATACCAAGTTTTGGTGAGGATGTAAAGCAATTAGAACTTTGTACAGTGATGAGAATTCAAGATAGTAAAGCCATTCTTGAAAAGTTTGTTGACTCTTTTTATAAAGTCTAACACTAGAAAATGAAAACCTACCTTCACACAAAAATCAGTACACAAATTGTTATAGTCAAAATTGGAAGCAACCCAAATGTCTTTCAATGAATAAACTGAATTTTAAAAACCTGTGACACATCCATACAGTGAAATACTATTCAGCAATAAAAGGAACAAATCATTGATATACAAAACAATTTGGATGAAGCTCAAAGACAACATGTTGAGTGAACGAAGTCAGTCTCTAACGGTTACATATTGTATGATTCAATTTATATGACATTCTCAGATAAGAGAAACTACAGCAATGTCAAACAGATCAGTGATTGTCGGGGATTAAGGATGGTATAGCAAAACAGAGTTTGGGGCATGTTCTGTATCATGATGGCACTGGTTATATGAATCTACACATGTGATAAAATTCAAAATGTAGAGTAAAAAATTCATTTTTACATGCTAATTTAAAATTTAAAAATAAGATTTAAAAATAATGTAAAAAGTATAGATTAGACAGCAAAATGCAAAGTCATTTAGAGAGGAGAGAAGGGTAAAATACTTTTTATCCTAGTAACTAAACCACAAAGCTACATTACTTATATTCTCTTCAGAAAACTATAACCTATTCTCTCATTTAGCTTTGGCATCAGAAATATCATTAAAAACATTAAAAATTCTATAGAAAACAATTTTTACCTCTGAAAAAAGTTAAGATCGTATATGCTCATCCTGGGGGAAAAATGATAGAACAGTTAAAGCTCAAATAATATGAAGACTAGATGAGCTCCCAGAAAAAGTGTCAATTAAAAATGATAGGAACTAGAATTTATAATGTGTTTTATTTATGTCAATTTGATTTATTTGTCTATTTATTCATTTATTTATTTAGACTATATAACATTTGAGCCATTGACATATATCAACTATGTGCTTTTTGTATAACATTCTATGTTTAGCTTGTAAGTACTTAAATAAATCCAAAAGCATTATATTATCTTCTTGAGATTCAACTTGGTTTACAATAGAGTCTATACTCATATTTACCTCTTGATAACTGGGTAATTTAGGATAAGTTTTCTGAGCTTCAGGTTTTCTTTTAAATCAATATAATTAAAAACAATGATGCCTAACTTGTCTATGTCAGAAAGTACATTTAAAGTTCAACTAAGTAAAATTACCTAAATTACTCTAAAAATTGTAAAAATATCACTGTGTCATTTTTGATACAAAATGACATACAGAGTTTGGGGGTGTGTGTATGCATACTAACTAAAATTTAAGGATATTTCTATTTAAATCCCTTGAATAGTACATAGCAATCTTCCTTCTGGAATTTTCCATTTAATTTTCTATAAATTTTGAATGTAGTGTGCTTAGTTGTTTGTTCACAAATTGAAGACTTCAAAAGGTAGTTGTTCCTATCATCAGAAGTTCAGTCTCCTGCATTTCCAAAATATCTATGGCTAAATGATTTGGAAGGGAGCCTATTAGCAATGATTTGCATTGTCAATATTTGTGCACTTCAAGGAGTTGTTCATCCACAAATATGTCACACCAAGGTAATTTTAATGCAGCAAGGTATAGAGCCAGATAGGACTACTGAAAAATGACCATTTATTTGATGTGAAAGATTTTTTTGAATCCTTTTATTTTTCTCTTAGGAAGGTGTGTCTGATGATATGGCAAATAAACTAGATTTGAAGAATGACTTCACCAAGTAGAAACAGAACTAAGTGGTTAACGCCAGAATTAAGTGTTTGTTTCCAAATGTTTTTTTCCCTGTATTATGAAATACAGCAATGTGCTAGGTCCCATGTCATCCTGGTATTTACACAAATCTGCATTATTTTCAGCTTTCTGAACTATGTATCACTGGCAGGGAAATCAGAAACAGATAGTGGCCAGCTCTTTGTGAGATTTTGTCTCTGGAAATGTATTAGGAAGTCCCTTCCTCATTGGGTGTTTTAAGTACCTTAACATAGCAAAGAACTTCTAATCAAAGTTGTATTTATTCTTTTAAGGCACTGAATTTTCTTCACGGTGTTCCACTAAGGAAAGACTTCATATGTGTGAATGGCTGTCTTAGGCTTGTTCCTTTATGCTCTGTTTTTATTTAAAGGTTCAGTAAGGGCTCCTGACTTTAAATGCTCCCATTTCTGAGTGTGAACTGCTGAACAGGCCACTTAGAGGGAATGCCTAAGACCTGGTCAAAATAAATCTTACTTACACTATTTATGTGAGTTGAAGAGTTAAAAGGGTTAAGGAATTTAATAATCTGACATTAGTTATTTTGCTAATCTCAACTCTATTTTCCCCTTATTATGAAATTATTCTTGAAGTAAGAAAAAAAAAGAGAAAATAGTTACTATGATATGTGTGTGCATGTATATGTGTATTTCCATATTGTTAGATTGGCTGAATGTCACACAATATAGATTTGCCCTTATTAGATAAGATAGAATAGCTTCACCCCTGTTAATTACTAGAGTGTAACTCTGAACTCTTTGCTCACCTTTTGTTAAATCTTTGCCTTTTGTGGTCATTATTCCCATTTGCACCTTCTTGGAAGATTTGTCAGTGAAAAACCTTAGGCTGAGAAACTACACTGAAGGTATGTACTATTGGACAACTTACCCTCAGAACATTAAAATTTGTTGTCCTCATCTAAATTTATAGATAGATAGATGGATAAGGCAACTATGGTAATGTGTTTACAACTATTCAAACTAGATGTTGTTAATCACTATATTAGTCTTTCAGTTTTCCCATATATCTGAAATGTTCATAATAGAAATTTATGGAAAAATCATCTTTAGATCAAGCCAGGCTGCCAGAGACCTGTGTATTCAGATCTTATTTTTTTGGGCTTTTTCAGAATTGATTTTATGTTTTATAAACTGTTGGCTGCATTTATGGTAGGGATATATAAAATGATCTCCTGCACCATATAGTGCTCCCTTCATGAGGACTCTTGGGGGAAATTTCTCATAGGTCAGAGAATCAGGAAACATCTCTTGTTTTCATCTTTTGGCAATTGTGACTCTTGTAACTGAATTTGTCTTTTTCACTGCTTTCACAGTTAAGAAATTCAGAGTCAAATTTACAACCTATCCTCAGTACTTGGCAGTGTCTTAAGGGTATGAACTTTATATCACAACTTTTATCTAGATTTATCGAGAAATATGTTCCATATCCCTACTTCAGTTATGTACTCATTTTTTAAACTAAGTAATTCATGCATTTTTGTTAGATATCACTAATCACTTTTTGAAAATGAGACAGGCTACAAATAATTTTTAAAGATTTGTGTGTATGTATGAGAAAGAGAGACAGAAGCAGAGAGAGAAAGAAAGGCAGTGTGTTTGTGCATAAATTGGGTGAGTCATATGCACCATTTCGCTTCTCTGTTTTCATATCTGAACCATTTAGCACATACATATCTATCATGAAGATATCAAGACCTTCCTCTATTATCTAGTCCCTGTCTCCATTAACTGATACATGAAAGATCTTTATCACCTAAATGAGCATCTACTATATATACACAATTTTTATTAGGCTTTCTAGTAAGAGAATTGCTTATAGACGTGTAAGCCCCGGGTGTCACAGATTGTATACTTCTAGTAGCATACTGTAATAATGAAAAGATTACCAAATGGATAAGCATTATAAACTAACATATTAGTGTACTGCTTTGTAAACTTTAAAGGGATATGGAGCAGTCAGATAGGAAACATATTAGTTTGTTAGGACTGCCATAACAAAATGCCACAGACTAGGTGGCTTAAACAATGAAAGTTCATTTTCTCACAGTTATGGGGGCTTAAAGGCCAAGATCAAGGTGTCTGTAGGCCTGGTTTCTTCTTAAGGAGAAAAGGTAAAAATTTATCACTCTCTCTTTGGCTTGTAGATGGCTGCCATCTCTCTGCTGCTTTGTTCTTACATGATCGTTCCTCTGTGCACCAGCAGCCCTGGTGGCTCTCTATATGTTCCTCTCCTGATAAGGACACCAGTCAGAATGGATTAAGGCCCACGCTAAGGGCCTCCTCTGAACTTAATCACCTCTTTAATGGTACTATCTCCAAAGGAAGTCACATTCTGAATTAGGCCTTCTGAATTAGGGGATTAGGCCTTCAATATATGAATTTTGGAGTGACACAATGCAGCCCAGAACAGGAAGCCTGCAATGTGAGGAAATGATGATATTGGGGTGAGGGAATTATGTAACTGAAGGGCAGCTGCAAGCAAAGCCATCTCAAGATGGTACTGTATACTTATATGCACTGTGATATAATTGCATACAATATTTAGTGTTATATACTAATATTAAATTTAGTATTATCTAAATAGTAAAGGCATTAATGGAATAACAGACAGATAAAAATAAGCAAGATTCCAAGGTAAAACAATAATTAGTAAATGCTTGCTTCATTGACTTATTAATTAAAATAATACATTTATTTTAAATCATAATAAAATATGAGATCACGCATGAACACTGGTGATTATATTTCAGTCTTGGGGAATAAGAAACTGTGCAAGTTTTCTGTGGTTTCTATTAAAAAAGAACAGTATGATGGCCTATTATGATACTTCATGATTAGTTTTCCAAAAATAAATTAATATAATTTGTTAAATATTTTACTGAGATGCTACCTAAGTCTTCTTTATTTCTTAATAGAAGGACAGCATGCCATTTCCAATTGCTTTACTCAAATATGAATATAATGCTAATCAGAGGGAAAAAAGGAGATCAAGTGCTACAAACAAAGATAGTATTAGAACAGCACTTGATTAGGAATAAGAAAGAATTTTCTTCCTGTGGGATAAATTCCATTGTTGTGAGGTTTTGGGCAAGTTAGGTAGCTACTCTGAACCTCTCTTTCCTCAGTTATAAAATAAGGAGAGTAGTATGAGATGTATTTATGAGTAGTATTCATTCAATCATTCAACAAATAGTCATTCATGCCTGCTAAGCACCAGGCACTGTTTTAAGCAGTGAAGATAGAGCACTAAATGAAATGACCACAGTTCTCATGGACTGCATATTCTGATGAAAGAAACAGACAATAATGACAATAGCAAAACAAACATTAATTCTATAACAGGTTAATAAGTATGAGAAAGAAAAATAAAGCATAGTAAGGGAATGGAGAATGAGATGCTATTTTAGAAATAGTAAATGAAAACATATGTGTTAAATGCACAATGGAACTACAAACTGCATAAACAAACATATTGTATTTACTACCCATTTTAGTCCAATTTAAAATATCTGCCAAATTTTAATATTTTTAAAACAAATATCTGAAACTTTCAAATGAAAATAATATGTGTTCATAATTAAATGTATAGAACTACTTATAAATAGCCTTTTTAAAACTATCTAGAATTAACGTCAAACAGCTTTTTGGGGGGAATTTGACATGCTGTACAATTCAATTAGAATAAAGGTGTGCTACTCGAATTCAAAATTTTTGAAAGATTTTAATATGTTAATCTGACAACGACAGATTCAGATAAGATTTTTTTTCCCTTAAAAAAAACAGAGGCAAGGAGAATCCTGTAGCCCATGTCATTACCTTTATTTAAATTTGGAGTAATGTATAGTTCAAATGGAGAATGGAAGAAAGTCACATAGTTTGACAATCACAATATATATTTTAAGTTGGCTATATATATTGATATTCAGTTTATACTTTATGGTCCTATGTAATGCTTGGATATTTTTTAAAAGAACTGACCATGTATTGAAAAATTGGCTTACTATTTGAGTCTATCATGACTGTATAACAAAGATGTAAAAATATTAATTTCCATGGTTTTGCTTTAATGGAAATATATTAAGTTTTTTCAAGTTAGAACCAGTAAATAGTTCCATTAATGATAGTAAAGAAATGGTCTCAGTGAAATAAAAAGATCCAGAAAGCACATATTTTAATCATTTCTGTAATGCCATTCAAAGGTATCAAAAAATCTATAGCAATAGGATAGTAGTATTTTTTACTGGTATCTTTTAATTTTGCTATTTTTTAAATGGGAAATATTTGGTCATACTATGGAAAGAATAATAATTTAACTCAGCTTTGGTTCCTTCAAGTACTGTATAAGGTGCAGCAATTTTACTATTAAATCATATATTTTCAAATTGTTTTTTTGTTGTTGCTCTTCTAATACTGGATTTTGCTTGTGTGGGTGGTGTTTTCTTTTTCCTGCATTCCTTGTGTTTTTCCTCTGTCTTCAACAGTTTTGTTTAACAGTTTTAAAAGACATTTTCCAAAGTTTCACAGACATATGCTCAACATATATAATTAACTTCTTCCCAGTGGGAAAATGCAATGACAATATAAGGGTAGGTATACACTATTAAAAAGGTTTTCTCCTCCTACTGCCTGTTTTTTAACAAGAAAATATGCCTGATGTATTCAGTGAACAAGAACAAAAGCAATTAAAATCAGAGATCTGATGTTGAGAAATACAAGTGCTTAGTTTTCCTTTAATTTTGTGAGCCAAATAAGTTACGTTTACTATGCAAGCACCCAGAAAATTAGAAGTACTTAGATATTATCTGAACTATTTTCCAAATGGGGTCAAATAAAGTATTTTTACTGTTCAAATAAATTTTATTGCAGGTCCATGAAAAACATACACTATCAAGGCAACCACCATTCTTTTTTTGGGGACTGGGAAGAGCAGGTCAACTCAAAAGATGTGACTCATTTATCGGAGTTTTCATTTTAAGACTTACATTGTAAGGCAATTTAAAAAGGTAACTTGTCAATATAAATGGCCTTATTCTTAAACAAACAAGTCCACAGCACTTAAAAGTTCTGCCTTGTAAATGTAGAATGAAACTGGTGTCCCATGAGAAGGATGGTTTAACTGAGATCCAAAGTATGGGTTGCTAGTCTTGAGAAATCAGTTTGAAATAAACAAAAATTAGTAGAAAATTATTTTAATTGCAAATTTAAAAATATTTTTAGGTGACAAATAAGTTGTATGGTAGATGGAAAGGAGGGAAGACAGAGAAATGGGAACTGTTAGATATCAAAAGAGAAAGAAACATTTGTTGTTTCTAAAACGAAAGGTAAAACTTCCAGCATGTCTTAAGAAAATCTGGAAAATTTTCCAGTGGCAAATTAGGAGTCTAGTCCAACTGGTGTTCTCTCCAAACATTCATTAGTGCTGCTTAATAATTACTCAGAGTTACTGGTATTGTCATCTTCTCTTGTGCTTTATATTCATTAACACGCACACACACACAGTCATTTAAAATGCACTGTAAATACTACTTTAATAAAGAATAAGTTCTGATGGAAGTTTCTCAGATTAGTCTTTTCACTTTCCAATGACCATATTAAATAAAAGAACTAAATTCAACAATGTACTGCCATGTACAATGTAGGCATTTGATTACTGATATACTGACACTTATATAAAGATAAAAGTAAGGTGTCTGTTGAGTGTACACATCTCTTAATGGTGACTATATAAAGAGATATAATATAATAAAAACAAATTACCTAAATTATATATAACATTATAATCAAAGAGAAGATAAAGTGAATTAGGAAGTTCAACATAAACCTACTGCCTTCTTTCACTCTTTAACTAAGATTCATACTAATGTGCTAAACTGAAGATTATTTTCTTCTAACTAGATAGATCCCCACTTATCTTTTTTTGAAAATAATGCATGTATGTATTAGTCAGCATTCACTGACGGCTTACTATCTATAAAGTATTAGTATTGGCTATTAGTCACCTTGGTTCTTATCTACCCAACTGAAAAATAGGGGCAAGTTCCCATTGATTTGAAAACTCGTATCTACATAGCAAAAAAACCCAAGATGGTGTGGATGTTTATAGAAACTTTATTCATAGCAGCCCCAAACTGAAGCAACCAAGATGTCCTTCAATAGGTGAATGGAAAAACAAACGAGGGTACATCAATATAATGAAATACTATTCAGGGATTAAAATAAATAAGCTATTATGGCATGAAAAGACATGGATGAATTCCACAACACAGAGTACTACCCACTATACGATCACGGTGAGCTACTGCAGACCCGCAATATGAATTTCTTGATTAATTAAAAATTAATCAGTTTCTTCTTCAGTTTGTAATGCAGTTAGATTATTTTTGTCACATTCTGCATTTCATCTTGGGATTCCCTTCACTGCCTAATTTTTTTTTAAAATTTGCATTCATGAAGGCTAACTCTTTGTGCTGTAAAATTCTATGGGCTCTGACAAATGCATAGTGTCGTGTCTCCAACATTGCAGCATTATCCAGAAGTGTCACCACTCTAAAATTCTTCAGTTCTTCATCTGTTCAACACTGCTCCTATCCCTGACCAAATGCTGAAAACCACTGATCTTTTTACTACCTTTACTTTTGCCTTTTACATAATGTCATAAAACTGGAACCCTAGAGTACATAGCTGTTTTAGACTATTTCTTTCTCTTACCAAAATACAATAGTACTAGAAAACAATATCTGGACCCTATGAATGCTTGGTACTTGGGTGTTGCTGCTTTCAGGACTTTTCAGCTGACAGAGCAAGGAAATATATGAGTATATACTAATTGTGTACATACCCGTATCTGTAAATATTTCTATGTATAACCATCTGTATCTATATTAAGTTAAACATGAGTAATGATGTCTCCAACTCTAATTCTATCACCACATAGATCATTGTCTTCTTCTTGCTTATCTGTAACCCTCTACTCTAACAGGGAGAAATTGGCTCTTACCATTAACAATTCATTTCTTGAACTGTTCAGTTCCAGGAGATATCTATCTATCTATCTATGTCTATATCTATATATCTATATGTCTACTTATGTCTATATCTATGTCTAGCTATATAAGAATTGTTCACTTGTACCCCTGTGGGAAATAATTCTATCAACTAGAATACAGGACTAAAGTTTAGGTTCTTTTACCTCTAGTCCTACACACTTCACTCATTTTCAGTTACTTGGATCAGCACCTTTTCCCTTCACCCCATCAGTGAGGTCATTTCACACCATTTCATACCAACAAGAATAAAATACCTAGAAAGCAATTTCAAGGAGGTGAAAGATGTATTCTCTGAAAACTGTTTAAGACATCACTGAAGGAATCTGAAGATAATACAAATAAATGGAAAGGTATCCCCTATTCATGGATTGGAAGAATTAATACTGTTAAAGTATCCATATTACCCAAAGCAAAATACATATTTACTGCAACCTCTATCAAAATGCCCATGTCATTTCTCACAGAATGAGAACAAATAATAATAAAAATTTAAATAAATAAATAAATTTAATTTCTAAAATTTGTATGGTAACACAAAAGACCCAGAATAGCCAAAACAATATTGAGAAAAAACAATAAAGCTAGAGGTATCACCCTCCCAGACTTCAGACTATACCACGAAGCTACAGTAAACAGTATAATACTGGCATAAAAACAGATACATAGATCGGTGGAACAGAATAGAGAGCCACACTTACACGGTCAATTAATCTATGACAAAGGAGGCAAGATACACAATGAGAAAAAGATATTTTCTTCAACTAGTTGTTGGGAAAACCAAACAGCTACATGTAAAAGAATGAAATTAGAACATTTTCTCACATTATATACAAAAACTCAAAATGGACTAAAGATCTAAATGTAAGACCTGAAATCATAAAACTCCTGGAAGAAAACAAAGGCAGTGTGCTCTTTGACATAGGTCTTTTTTGACTCTGTCTTCTCAAGCAAGGGATACAAAAGCAAAAGTAAACAAATGAGGCCTATTAAAACTCAAAAGCTTTGCATGGAGAAGGGCACCATCAACAAAATGAAAAGGCAACCTATTGGATGGGAGAAGACATTTGCAAATGATATGTCTGATAAAATGTTAATGTCTAAAATATATAAAGAATTCACACAACTCAATATCAAAAACACCAAACAACTCAATTAAAAGACGGGCAGAAGACCTGAACGGGAATTTTTTTCCAAAGAAGATGCGCAGGTGGCTAAAAGGCACGTGAAAAGATGCTCAACACCGCTAATCATTAAGGAATGCAAATCAAAACCACAATATCACCTCATATCTGTCAGAATGGCTATAGTCAAAGACAGTAAATAAAATATTGGTAAGGATGTGGAGAAAAGGGAGCCTTTGTACACCGTTGGTGTCAGTTTAAGTTAATACAGCCACAATGGAAAATAGTATGGAGGTTACCAAAAAATAAAAATAAAAACAGAACTACCATATGACTTAGCTATTCCATTCCTAAGTATATCCAAAGACAATAAAGCATGAATTCAAAAAGATATATGCACTCCAATGTTCACAGCAGGATTATTTACAATAACTAAAATATAGAAGCAACCTAAGTGTCCATTAACAGATGAATGGATAAAGAAGATATGGTACATATATCTTGACAATGGTTTATTTATCTTTTTACAAGAAGAATATTTGACTCTAAACAAAAGCTTATCAGTTTCAAAAACTATGTCCAAGTAAAGTAATTCTCTAATTCTTGTGTCATTCAGTGACACTGAATTCAAAGGATGATTGCACATATTTGAAACAACCCTAAATTTACCAAGCTCAACAAAGCATTCTTCATATTTCATGTATTTTGTGCAGCTTCAAGATTGACATAATACTGTTACTAGTAATTAAACCTGTATATTGCTTCATGTTTAAAAATATGCAAGATCATTTATAATGACTTGTATTATAAAAATTTTCAATTTCAACCTAAATGCTTATAACCGTCTACATAGATCACAAGTTTTTCTTCTCTTGGAACTTCAAAATTAGTTTATTTGCCTCATGATATTGCCAAGACAATGTTAACACTGCATTTTTTTCTTTATTTATTGAATATCTGGCTAATATTTCTTCTATTTCTGAAAAACATTGAGTTAAAACAATACAGTAAATTTTCGTGAATACTTTCCACAATTCAATCAAAGAGCACTGGTAAGGAACATGACATCTTTAAGTTCACTGTATTTTATTCCTTTCAACAGTTCCATAAACTGGTGATGTTTCATAGCATTCACATGTATATACAAATGATTTTAACAAGTATATTTATGACATTTGTCATAGAATCTGCTTCAGAAAACTTAGCACAAATATTTCTGGCATCACACAGTGAAATAAAGCCCTAAGAAAAACATTAGTCTCTTAAAATTCCAATAATTTAGACTTTTTACATAACATATCTGGACCATCAGTCATCATGACAAAAATTAAGTTTTTCCTATGTAGCTGAAATTATTCTTTGATAGTTTAAAAAAATTTGAATCTATATCTATTCCAAGAGCTTGACTTTTTTAGTCCACGAATTGAATTTATTTGTAAATTTAGACATCTTTTGAGGAGAAAAACATCCAAGGAATTAATTGGGCAGTATCTTCTATATTGTGTCTAAAGCGAAAGAAAAATACTTGAGATTTTTCATTTTTGAATCAACCGATATCTAATACTGTTAGAAAGCTCTTATATATTATGATCAATTGTCTGGTGATAACTGAAATCCTTCGCTTTTTGTAAAATATTTCTTTTAATCTTTTCTAACAATATTCTCTAACAAAATTTCATCAATTAAAATAAGTTTTTTAAAAACAATTTTCCATTAAAATGGTTTTCTTTGTGCAAGAATCTAAGCCATTTAAAATAGTCCC